AGATCAGTAGGCGTTAGTGGGTTCATTCCATAAACTACTTCAAACGGTGACAGGTGTGTGTGCTGTGTGGATATGTCTATTGTATGCAAATTCATGTAAGGAAGACATTCATCCCAACTTTTACTATGTGAATTCACAATAACTCTAAGGAGATTACCCAACACCCGGTTTACCGCCTCCGTTTGTCCGTCAGTTTGGGGGTGATAGGATGTGGAGAAAAGAAGCTTAGTACCAATTTCGTGCCACAACGATTTCCAAAAGTAACTCACGAACTTTGCATCACGATCTGAGACAATAGACCTTGGCACTCCATGAAGGCGTACTATCTCCTTGAAAATAGTTTGGCGATGTGATGGGCATCATTTGTCTTTGCACAAGGAATGAAATGCGCCATCTTGGAAAACCTGTCAACCCCAACGAAAATAGAATCTTTAGCACGTGCAGTCTAGGTAAACCCAACACAAAATCCATACTAATATCAATCAAGGTCCCTCAGGGGGTGGAAGAGGCATGTAGAGTCCATGTGGCTTAAGTGTTGACTTGGCCTTAAGGACGTCACGCATTGCGAAAATATAATCTGCAACTTGCTTGCGCATTCCAGGCCAATAAAAATTCTCTCAAGAGCTTCCATTGTAGCATTCTTCCCAAAGTGGCCCATCATGTCACCACCGTGAACTTCTTGTATAGTAACTCCCGAATGGAGCATTTTGGATACAAAGTCGATTATCATAATACAAAAATCCCTGGTCTGCAATACTTATCATGCCCATGAAATTCACACAAAGCATAACATCTTTGAAATCCTCATCAGTGTGGTATAATTCCATAACATGCTCAAATCCTAATAAATGCGTGGACGCGTATGAAATTAAAGCATACCTGCGTGAGAGTGCATCCGCGACAATATATCCTTACCCTTTTTGTACTTGATGGTGTATGGAAATGACTCAATAAAAGATACCCATCGTGCGTGCCTTCGATTCAGCTGTTGTTGCCCCTCAAGTGCTTCAAGGTCTCATGATCGGTGTGTATCACAAACTCTCGTGGCATCAAATAATGTTGCCATGTCTTTAAAGCCCGTACCACCGCATACAACTCCTTGTCATATGTAGAGTAATTCAAGGCAGCCCCTCCAAATTTCTCACTATGATAGGCTATGGGTCGACCTTCTTGAAGCAAAACTGCACCCATGCCTTTGCCCGAAGCGTCACACTCAAGCTCAAAGGTCTTCTCAAAATTGGTAGCGCAAGTACTGGTGCTTGAGTAAGCTTTGCCTTCAATGTCTCAAACGCTTCTTGGTGTGCTTGCTCCCATTTAAATGGGACTCCCTTCTTGAGCAAGGACGTGAGAGGAGCAGCGATCAAGCTAAAACCAGGCACGAACCTCCGAAAAAATCCACACATTCCAAAAACCTCCTAATTTCTCCCACATTCATTGGAGGTGTCCATCTTTAATTGCCTTTACTTTGTTTCATCAACCTTCAAGCCATCCTCGCTAACTACAAACCCAAGGAAAACAACTTCATTAGTGTGGAATATGCACTTTTAAAATTAGCATAGAGTTGTTCTTCCCTTAACCGTTGAAAGACGAGTCGCACATGCTCCACATGTTCCATTTTCACTTTTACTGTAGACAAGAATATCATCAAAGTATACTACAACAAATTTACCAATGAAAGCACGTAGAACATGATTCATTAAACGCATGAAGGTACTAGGAGCATTAGTTAGACCGAATGGCATTACCAACCATTCGTACAAACCTAGCTTTGTTTAAAATGCCGTCTTCCACTCATCGCCGGTTTGCATACGAATCTGGTGGTATCCACTCCGAAGGTCAATCTTGGAGAAGATTCTCACCCCATTGATCTCATCAAGCAAGTCATCAAGGCGCGGGATTGGGTGTCGATACTTAATTGTAATCGCATTCACCGCTCTACAATCCACACACATCCTCCAAGTTCCATCCTTCTTGGAGACAATGATAACAAGAACAGCACATGGTGATAAGCTCTCCCGAACCCATCCCTTCTCAAGAAGTTCTTGGACTTGTTTTTGAATCTCCTTATTCTCATCTGGGTTGCACCGATACGCAGGACGATTTGGGATCGAAGCACCGGGTACGAAGTCAATTTGATGCTCTATCCCACGAATGGGCGGTAGTCCTTGCGGTAGTTCCTCCGGGTATACATCCTTCATCTCTTCAAGCATCCTAGCAAAGGGAATGGGAAAATTAGTGAGTAGATTATCTTTATCAGAATGAAATAAATCTTTGCATAACAACATAAAACAACCCCCCTTTTGATGATCACCAACTTCTCTCTGAAAATCGGTAAGTGAAAGAAGGATGTTGGAACCCTTAGCAGTAGACTCTCTCTTTTCCTCTGTGGATACTTCTTTTCCTTTAGCTCTTTTAAGGCTTTCAGCCTCTTGCATCTTCTTTCGCAAACTTTCTTGATCTTTTCGAACCTCCTTCAATGGCGAAAAAGGAATCATTACCTTGTAGCCCTTGTCATAAAATCTAACTTTGTTAGTCTTGCCATCATAGATAATTCCTTTATCGGATTGCCATGGTCGGCCAAGAAGCACATGGCATGCGGTCATCGGAGTAACATCACAAAGGACATCCTCTTTGTAGGGGCCGATTGAAATTGGAACTTTGGCTTGCCTAGTGATCTTCATATCTCCACTAGAGTTCATCCATTGAAGATGGTATGGAGTTGGATGCTTGATAGTTTGGAGTCCAAGCTTGTCTACCACATACCAACTTACGACATTGGTGCAACTTCCATTATCAATGATTATCGACGCTCGCTTCCCACCAATCTTGCACCGACAATGGAACAAATTCTCCCTTGCTCCTTAACCCGATCAACAAAATTTTCCGACTCCTTGGGAACTGCTCCAAGCATTCGCAAAACCACTAGAGACTCCCCGGATGAATCCTCTTCAACGTGCTCTTCCGTCTCTTGGATTGCTTCATCCTCACTCGCCTCAACTTCATGTTCCCAATCTTCACCCTCATCATCCGACAAAAGTACATAGTCCCCATTGTCACAAAGCACAACAGTTCGCACATTAGGGCATGTATTGGCATAATGACCTTTCCTTTGACACTTAAAGCATGTGACTTCCTTTGCTTTGTTTGGTGAACCATCCTTGCTGACTTTCCTTGGTTCATCACGCTTAACCACCTTAAGCGGCTCATTCTTGGTCGTGTGCTTATCATCTCCTTTGGGCCAAGATTTTGTTGGTCCCGTATTACCCCCAAACTTGTTGAAATTTGGTGACGTCTTTCCAAAGCTCACACTTACTCCTACCTTTCCATGCGATTCAATCTTGGTAGCAAGTTGGACAAGTTCCAAAGTAGAATTGTAAGGATACATATCCACTTGAATCATAATATCACGCCTCAGCCCTTTGAGAAACCGATACATGGTGACTCCATCATCTTCCACAAGCTGAGCCCGCATCATAAGCATCTCCATTTCCTTGTAGTACTGCTCAACCGTCTTGCTACCTTGGACTAAAAACTGAATTTTCTGAAGAAGATCCATCCGATAATGCGGGGGCACAAAACGTGCATGCATAGCTCGAGTAAGGGCTGCCCATGTCTCAATCGGAGGCATTCCGGACCTTGCAATATCAGCTTGTATCTTCTCCACCAAACAAGAGCATACTCCTTAAACTCCACAACAGCAAGCTGAATTTTCTTGCGCTCCGAGTAATTATGACATGCAAACATCATCTCCACTTTGCTTTTCCACTCAAGAAACTCATTAGGTTCAGCCGATCCTACGAAAGGTGGTATGGAGAACTTGATGGACTGCATGTTATCATCAACCTCATTAACTCGAACTCGGCTCCTTCGGTTATGGATATCTTCTTCCAAGTCAAATTCATCAAGTAACTCTTTGGTAGCATCCCGTCTTCCTCGTCGGCCTTGGATAGATGTAGGCCTTGGACTAGTATGACGCCTTCGCCAAAATCATCAACTTGGATAGATCGATTTGGGAAAACACTTGTTGAGCCCATAGGTTGCTTGCCAAGGTGGATTTCTTCACGTCTAGCATCACTATGACTTCCCTTTTCTTCAAGAGTAGCAACCTTATCGAAAACCTCATCGAGTTTCTTTCCATGTTTTGATCAACCTTCCTTAACAAGGCCTCCGCATAAGCCTTCATCCGAGCATCCACAACATCATCTATGTCATCTCGAACATGATCAACTTGACTCCGTAGGTCATGTATCTCTCGACCTTGCTGATCCACACGAGATGTCATGCTATCCATCTTTCCACCTAACTCGTCTTTAATATCTCGCATATCTTTGCTTTGCTTATTTATCGCAGCCAAGATATCATCCAACGAAGCCATACCTGCACCAAAACAAACTAATATATGTATATTGAAAGTTAGTTCTCTCAATTCCCCCCCACTCGCACACTCGTGTATACCTCTCGACAAATGGATAGAGTTTCCAAGCTCTTAAAGTGTGCCTTGATGGAGTCGTAAAGGTGGAACCTGAGTGACGTACGCGTTTAAAGTGGACAAGAAACTTTAAACACGACTCAATCAAAGAAAGCTCAAGATAGTGTCAATCATGCAATGCAAAGAACCAAGCTCATTCATTCACGAACGAATGACCAAACGTACACAACACACAAATGCCGGAACTAAGCAAGTCGACAAAAACACAAGCTGAATAGATCTCAACAACCACAAAATCACCACAATACTCAACCCCTTCTAAAACGTGTCAAACGAATATGACAAGCACAAAATCGATCCAACTCAAAAACTCAAAACTGAATAATCAACGTCAATTACAAATTCACAAAACTAATTAATATAACTTTCTCACCACTTCACAAGCTTTCCAATGACATATCATACGCGAAAAATGGAGCTCGTATGAGAAAACTACAACTCAAACAAGATTATCGACAAAAAATTGCTCTAGTCCTCCCGCTCGATTTTGTTTTTTTTGTATTTTTTTTTTTTTCAAATATTTTGGTTTTCTTTTTCTTTTCTTTGCAACAATTTTTTTTTTTTTTTCGCAACTCTTTTTTTTTTTTTTTTTTACTTTTTCACGGCAATATTACGAGGCCTAGGCAAAACAATACATCAACAATAACTCCTTACACTTCCCCAACAACATCCAACTCAAAATTAATTCAACCTCACTTCAAACAACAACGAACTCAACAACCCGCAAACTTGCAAATCTCAAACAAGAGCAAAATCGCAAAACTCAAACAAGAACAAACTTGCAACACTCAAACAAGAACAAACTTGCAACACTCAAAGAAGAACAAACTCGTAAAACTCAAACAAGAGCATGAAGTGTACAATTAAAATCACTCGTCAACAAGTCACAAGCTTGAGTTCATATAATGCATATGGATGTAAGGTGCATGTTGTACACTAGGAAGCATAGAGGATCAAATCGTCTACACTAGAAGGCCAAGCAATGACAAAACTCGAGATCAAATCTACGTCAAGATATGCAATAAAAAACTCGACTACGCAACTAGAGGAAAGAATAAAAAAGAAGATAACAAAGGAATTTTTTTTTTTTTTCGGAATTTTCGGAATAAAGATAGTGTAAATTGATCAAACTGCTCTGATACCAAAATTAAATATATGTCATGGACCGAAATTGATCAACTACACAAGACACGGAATAAACTAACTAAGCGGAACTAACTAAGAAAGAAAAGAACAAATTAACTAAGCGGAAACGAATAAAGCGAGAAAAAGGATAATCGAAAGAGAAACAAACCTAATTAGAACTAAGTATAATCTATAACACGCTATATAATATAAACGAAAAATATTGAAAAAACAAAAGTGCTAAATGTACTAATTTCGAACACTCTACGAAAAATACGAAAAGCACTGCAATTAGAACTATAGAGCACAAAGTAAGTATAATCTATAACATACTATATAATAATATAAAGGAAAAACATTGAAAAAACAATAGCGTTAAATGTACTAATTTCGAACACTCTACAACAAATACGAAAAGCACTGCAATTAGAACTATAGAGCACAAAGTAAGTATAATCTATAACATGCTATATAATATAAACGAAAACCATTGATAAAACAAAAGCGCTAAATGTACTAATTTCGAACACTCTACAAGAAATACGAAATTAGAACTATAGAGAGCACAAACTAAGTATAATCTATAACATGCTATATAATATAAACGAAAAATATTGAAAAAACAAAAGCGCTAAATGTACTAATTTCGAACACTCTACGACAAATATGAAAAGCACTGCAATTAGAACTATATAGAGCACAAAGTAAGTATAATATATAACATGCTATATAATATAAACGAAAAACATTGAAAAAACAAAACCGCTAAATGTACTAGTTTCGAACACTCTACAACAAATACGAAAAGAACTTTAATTAGAACTATAGACAACAAAGTAAGTATAATCTATAACATGCTATATAATAATATAAAGGAAAAACATTGAAAAAACAAAAGCGCTAAATGTACTAATTTCGAACACTCTACAACAAATACAAAAAGCACTGCAATTAGAACTATAGAGTGCACAAAGTAAGTATAATCTATAACATGCTATATAATATAAAAGAAAAACATTGAAAAAACAAAAGCGCTAAATGTACTAATTTCGAACACTCTACAACAAATACGAAAAGCACTGCAATTAGAACTATAGAGCACAAAGTAAGTATAATCTATAACATGCTATATAATATAAAGGAAAAACATTGAAAAAACAAAAGCGCTAAATGTACTAATTTCGAACACTCTACAAAAATACGAAAAGCACTGCAATTAGAACTATAGAGCACAAAGTAAGTATAATCTATAACATGCTATATAATATAAAGGAAAAACATTGAAAAAACAAAAGCGCTAAATGTACTAATTTCGAACACTACTAAAACAAAAACTATAGAGCACAAAGTAAGTATAATCTATAACATGCTATATAATATAAAGGAAAAACATTGAAAAAACAAAAGCGCTAAATGTACTAATTTCGAACACTCTACAACAAATACGAAAAGCACTGCAATTAGAACTATAGAGCACAAAGTAAGTATAATCTATAACATGCTATATAATATAAAGGAAAAACATTGAAAAAACAAAAGCGCTAAATGTACTAATTTCGAACACTCTACAACAAATACGAAAAGCACTGCAATTAGAACTATAGAGCACAAAGTAAGTATAATCTATAACATGCTATATAATATAAAGGAAAAACATTGAAAAAACAAAAGCGCTAAATGTACTAATTTCGAACACTCTACAACAAATACGAAAAGCACTGCAATTAGAACTATAGAGCACAAAGTAAGTATAATCTATAACATGCTATATAATATAAAGGAAAACATTGAAAAACAAAAGCGCTAAATGTACTAATTTCGAACACTCTACAACAAATACGAAAAGCACTGCAATTAGAACTATAGAGCACAAAGTAAGTATAATCTATAACATGCTATATAATATAAAGGAAAAACATTGAAAAAACAAAAGCGCTAAATGTACTAATTTCGAACACTCTACAACAAATACGAAAAGCACTGCAATTAGAACTATAGAGCACAAAGTAAGTATAATCTATAACATGCTATATAATATAAAGGAAAAACATTGAAAAAACAAAAGCG